AGAATACACTTTATATATTATATATATATATTCGAGATAAGAGAGCCAACCACTTTAGGTAAACTTTTTTTTTCCCTTCATTTCCAAGCAAAGAAGTAGCATGAAAGAGAGGCCAGAATAAACTTGTGTGTATATATACACCAGTCTTAAAATGCCTCGGGATAGAGACAGACCGAAAATTTTCGTTTAGTTTAGGTTTTAAGTGCTTAGGTATTTCACATCCCCTCCAAACCGCACTTTCCATAAACATTTTTAAGTTTACGACGATCATTTAAAGGAATTTAATCCTGGCAAATTCAATTTACTAAGGGCGACCCGCCGTTTATGAAAAACTGGAATTTATGGTTTTCTATTCATATTGTATACATAGTGTATGGGACAAAAATTTTATTTTTGACCTAATTTTCTTTTTCCCTCCCGAGTGTAGAAGTATATAAAATCCAGGTACTTAATTGGTTCAAAAATATGTACAAAAATAACAAACTTATTCTGAAAATTATTTTGAAAACTTTAAACACTCAACGCTTGGTTCTAAATCTTCAGTTGTAAAAATTTCCTCACTAATTAAAATAGTTTGAATTCAATTCAAATTCAAATTCAGTTCGAACGAATTGAACTGATTAGAGTAAAATTCGTTTGAACCTGATTTGAGTTCAATTCAATAAAATTAAATTTAATTCAATTTAACTGATTAGAATTGAATTCAATTTAAAGATATTAATTTGAATTCAACAAAATTTTATTGAACTGACTTGAGTTTAATTCTTTTGTCAAAAGAATTAAACTCAAGTCAGTGTCTACTATTTTCGTTCAACATAAAATTCTCGGGTTTTTCCCGGCTTTGTCCTAATTTTTCCCGGTTTTTTTCTCATCAAATTTAAATTTATTTGATTTCGAACATAAATAAATTTACAAAAGACTTCCAAATTTTTTGAAAATAATGTTTTTTTAATAATTTTAATTAAAATTTTGGAAAATAATTCACAGGAAAAAAAAAGTCTGACTCCGTTTACACCTTAAATTCAGCCCATGTATTTCACATAAGTCTGTCCTTGTTTAACGGGGCTGACTCCGTTTACATCATAAATTCAGCCTCAAAAAGAGGCTGAAAGTAAAACTTTTTTTTTAGTGTGTTGAATTAAAAAAAGAATGTTTTCAATTTTTTTAAATAATCTTGTCTGTTCATAATTATAATTGAAAATTTTATTAATTCAATTTTATTAAAATGTATTGATTTGATACTAATTGAATTTCAGAAAAGAATTTTACTATATTTATAACAGTAATTGAATCCTTCAAAAGAATGTTATTATTTATGAAAATAATTGAATTCTTGCGAAGAATTTTATTAAAATTTTTGAAAATAATTGAATTTCGGAGAAGAATTTAATTATTTATAAAGATAATTGAAATTTTGAGAACTAAAAAAAATTTTTAAACATAATTAAATTTCTGCGAAGAATTTTATTACTTTTGAAAATAATTGAATTGTTTTTTTAGAATTTTATGAAAATAATTGAATTCTTGTGAGGAATATTTTTTAAAAATAATATTCAAAATAATTTAGTAAATCTAAAGAATTTCGCTATTTATGGAAATAATTAAAGTCTTGAGAAGTTTTTTTTCAGTTTCTAGAAATAATTGAATTCTTTCGACGAATTTTAATAAAATTTTTAAGAATAATTACATTTTTCTAGGAATTTGATTAAAATTGTATTAAAAATAATTGAAATTCTGCGAAGGAATTTTTAAAAATAAAATTATATAATTACGGTGACTATAACTTCCCTTGATTATTTAAAATTTCGAAAAATTTAAATGAAATTTTTTAAAAGAATTTAATTATTTTTAATAAAATTTAAAGAAATTTCAATTATTTAAAAAATGTTTCAATTATTTGTATATAAAAATCCAATTATCTTGAAACAACAGAATTGAAAAATTTCAAAAATCTTATTTTTCAGAGTTTTCAAAAAAACTTTGCAAAAATTCAGTTTTATTAGAAAAATTTAAGTGTGTTTCTTTTTTTAAATTAACTTATAGAAATTTTAATTATTAATCTTCGCACAAAGAAACATGAATACATTAGAATGTGAGTCTTTATAAAATTCAATTATTTATCAATTATTAAATTAAAATACTTTGAAAATTCGAATTGTTAAAAAGTTTTTTTAAAAATATATTTATATACTATATTTGAATCAGTGACTTATTTTTTTCTATCAAATTAATTATGTTTAACTAATTCAAATTTATAGAGAACAGTATAAATATCTATTTATTTAATTTAATTCATTAATATTAATTTCAATTCAATTCGTTTAAACTGATTTGATTTAAATTCAATAAAATTAATTTCAATTCAATTCAATTCAATTCGTTTTAACTGATTTGGATTAAATTAAATTCAATTAATTAGAAAATTTTGACCTAAACACTTAAGTGTTTGGTTAAAACTTTTGCAAATAATTTTCTGTATTCTTTACTGAATTATTTTTAAAATAATGTTCCCAACTTTTTACTATAAATTTAGTATAGTATAATTTTTTCTAGTTTTTTTTTGCTCCGCGGCATGAAACAATTATGCAAGAAATTTTTTAACTCAACAAGCAATAAATTAAAAACTCGGAGGGGGAAAACATAATTCTGGAATAAAACACGACAAATCCATTTGAATGACATAAAACGTGCAATGCAATTTAGATAAATGCATCAGGTATATATATAGGATAAATATTAAAAGAATATTCTTTTTCATGAAAAAATAATCGCACACGAAGAGTGTGGCATGAATAATGCTAATGATCAATTATCATCTTGTTATGACATACACTGTCTTGTTATAACAAGTGATTGATTCATTTACGTGGTTAATATGCATAAGCTTTTTGATACCTTGTAATATTTCGATATACAAAACACGATAATATTTGAAAAAAATTAACTATTCGAAAAATTTACTTCTTCTTTCAAACACAGAGTTTTAAAAGAGTATATATTTTTGAATGTACCGAAAAGGTTCGTATTTTTCCGAATTTTTAGAAAAGAAAAGGGTATTTTTTCGAATCTATATACAAAAATTTCAAAGTTGAGGGATTGTTTTAATCAATTTCCTAGAAAAGAAAAAGCTAAAAGTTAACATTACCCTGTGGTCCTATAATACATTAATTTAATTCAGATTGCATTTACAAATAAGGCGCATGTTATTTTCCTCTCAAATTATCCAAATCATGAAACAACTTAATTTTGCGTTTACACCTACTATTTAAGATAATAATAGATCCATTATTGCTTTCGTGGCCAAAGAAATTGTAGTCATCTAATTACGAATCGGCTCGTAAGACGAAAATGCAAATGTCCCGCATGTAACAGTCATTTATATTATATGTGCGTTCAAAGAAATATTTGTCCCTTCTCTTTAATGATCGACTCCGCGACCAAGTGCCGATGACAGGGAAGTGAACTCGTTGACGACAAATTATTCACATCATTGACTACTAATCGGAATATTTTTACCGACAAAAAAAAATACATAGAAAAGGAACGATAGAGTCGTGAAAGGGAATTTTTTATCACGTATCACTAACGCGGCGCGAGTATAATAACAGGAAATTAGTCAACTTTGTATATTTCATTTAAATTTCGTAAATTTATTTCGTAACCAGAATTATTTTCAATTTTACTGTTATTAATATTGTTAATAACAAAAAAAATTTTGTTGGGGAAAAAATTTATCTGACTTACAATATTATAATTAATATTTCTTTGCTTCAAGTAATTATTTATTTGCTACAACACAATTTGATAACCTTAGAAAAACTGTGAAGTAAATATTTATTTGATACAAATAAATAAATATTTACTTGTAGTAAATAAATATTTTTTTGTATCAAATAATTTTCATTAAATTCAACTAAACAATGAGACAGAAATCCGCAACACATTTTTAAAAACGAAAATGCGACAGTAATAATGCGAAGGTTTTATTGTTTCTTGGCTTCAAATTTAAATTATTGTTGAGTAATTGTCATTGTTACAATTAATATCATAAAAATTTACACACATAAAAATTAGAGATAAATGAAACTTGAAAAAATTTCTGTTTTGATTTTTCGGTTTTAAAAACATTAAGGACTTCAGCCTCGAATTAAATGTGATATTTACACGTGTGAAGTTCACAACGATCATGATTTAAAGATTGAATATTTTTTACCCATAAAACAATATTTTTTGTTTGCAAATTTTTATTTTTTCAATTGTTGGTGAAGAAATTTTATTATAAAAATGTTTTTAGCCAAAAATTTGAATAGAAAAGTATTTTTTTCTATTAAATTGTTGATTATAAACGTTTCGTCTTCATCAACTTGTATACTTCGCAGATACTATAGAATTATTGGTTCAAATGTAGTTTATTGAAATTGCATATAAAAATTATTTGATTAAAAATATTATTTACATAATAGACACGTGATATTAAATTCATCTTTAAATCCAATTTTTTCAGTGAATTTCTAATTTTACATCACTCGGAACTTCGGAAGAAACTTTGTTTAACAACCAAATTTTGGTTGGTTCAACTAAATAAATCCATTGCTGTACCAGTTAACCAAAGGTTTGTTTGATTTACCAAAAATTTGGTTGATTTACCAAACATTTGTTTGATTTCCCAAACATTTGTTTGATTGACCACAAACATTTGTTTGATTTTCGAAAAGTTTGTCTCAATTGACCAAATTCTTTCTCAAGCAAAATTTATTAAACTGAACCAGATGTTTATTTAACCCAAGTAAATATTTATTTTATTTAAACAAACATTTGGTTTATTATACCAAATATATTATATACAAATAAGGTTTATGCAACAAAATAGACTATAGAAAAAAATAGAGCATATACATAATTTTTTTCTGAGTCAACATTTTGGATTCAAAATGATAAAAGTGGTAAAATAGCAAATTGGTAAATTTGCAAAATTGCTTCATTGTTAATGAGGTAATTACCTTGACTGTGCTCGCCAGCGTCGAAAGTTTTGCTCGTCATTTGGAAGAGAGCATCAAGAGGACTTCCCTGTCCGGGTTGTCGTTTTCCATTCTGTCCACTTTGCGAATTGTGTTGCTGGGATGCTTTCCGTTTAAATTGCTGCTGCATCGCCGGATGATGTAAACCGGGATGTAAGCCATGATGAATACTGTGATGATGATGATGATGCACCAAAGGATCAGGACTTCCCGAATCGGAAACAGAACTCCTACCGGATGAAGACGAACTACTTAGTGGTGGTTCGCTAATGGATCCGGAAATAGAGGCCAATGACATTCCCATTAAGGAAAGATCTCTAGGTCCCGTGTGTGGCGCATGATGATGATGATTGTGATGATGATTATGATGATGATGCGAATGTCGATGATGATTTAAATTCGACTCCGCCGTATCCCAGGGTCTCACAATTTTAGCCTTTGGTCTATGAGACAAAATGTCGAGAATACTGAAAGACTTGACTCCACGTTCATTCGTTTCCCTCTCACGCTCGTCCTCCTCGTCCGACTGTTGAATCGGCACCATTTTCAGTCGTTTTAGAGGCTTAAAATAATCTTCACCACCGCCCGTGGTACCATTACCATTCCTCTTTCTACCATCCTCCTCAGTCTCTTCATCAATGTCCCTCAATGATGTCACATCACTACCCATAATTCGCGAACCGGAAATTCTTCTATCGCGAATTCTGTAATGATCATCGTCCCTGGAGTACCTGTCGTCATCGTCGATTGTATCCTGATAACTCCTTGGACTCAGTCTCTCGCTATATTCCTCTCGCGAGGAACTCAGTCTCTCCTCGTCATCATTAGGCGTCACCACCACAAGTGGCAGAGGACTCGGACAACCCACCGATATCTCGTCATCGTCATCATGCACTTCGGGTCGATTTGGTGAATTTCTCGAGGTTGTCCTATGATGATGATGATTACTCGGCGATCCTAGACACCCAGTGGTTGTGCCACTGGAAGAAGCTGTCGACGGTGACATTGTGAACGTTTCCGTCATTTCCGTCGTACACATAATCACAATAAGTTCCTTGCGGTTAGGTACTCGATGTACTCGGTACCTTTTTCCACAATTCTCGTTCCATCTAGAAGAACATATTTGCACTCAACACTGTTTTCATTTGATAATAATATATTTTTAATCCAATGTAACAAAACTTCCCACTTTTAATAAAAAAATTCACTTTCTTTCAGTAACTGAACTTCATCACCGAACTTTGTCAACATCACACAAAAACACCTTTGGTTTGTTTAGAAAATCTTTTTTTTTTTCTCTTCTCCGCGCGAGAGAAAAAACGTGTGCCGAGAGTAAGAGAGAGCGATTCGAATAGGCGCAAAATACACAGTCAGTTCGCTCGAGTGACTCGAAGTGGTTTGAACTGATCCTGCTTCCAGTTGCTCCTTCTCGTCTCGGTGTGGGAGGGAGTCTTCTTCTGGCTCGGCCACACAGTCGTGACTTTGACGGCAAAGATCAAAGCGGCGAGGGGCGTTCGGCTACGCCAGGAGGGCGGACTCAATGTGAGGCCAACCCACCAATCCCTGGTACCGTCAGCCCCTCGGCAAAATGACGCTGGCTCGATGGAATTTTTACGAGACGTACTTAACGTCCTGCAGGTCTCTATAGTGTATACGATCAAACAATTCTGTGTGTGGGTTATCCACCTCGATATACACCACGTAATGTATTTATACATATATATATGTTGAGAATATGAATTCGTTGCTTCTGCACAACAAACACTAACGAGGGCTCTACCAAGAAGCAAACCCTGCATCAGCAGCGATTTTCGACGTTATTAACGACACACATGCTTATAATATTGGCAACAGATGCCATATTTTTTGGAGTAGATGTTCATCAAAAGAAAAAAAAATGGGCTGGCTGACCTAAAATTACAATGGGCCCTTGGGCATTGATGAGTATACGTTCTTATAAGGTGTCCTTGCGAGTTCACCCTTTTCCGGAGTTTCTGTGCCCACGTGGCAATTGTTCGACTGACACAATTACATAGTAGGTGAACATGAATTGTCTTGTTATGAAAAAAAAATTCTTTTCTTTAAATTTTCAATTTTTGATTATCATATTAGGGTGGAGAAAATGTTGGATGAAGGTGGAGGGAGTATTCAAACTTTAAAGTGATTGGCGCGCATGTATATAGAGAATGACTGACATTCTTGACTGATGAATCTCATGGTTTTTTGCGGGAGTCGCTTTGGAATCAGTTTGAATCAATCAGGAATCAAAAAGAGTCAAATAGATTCAAAAATAATCACTTAGGAGTAAAAAAGAGTCACGCGCGTAACTCTTTTTTTTACCCCTAAATGATTATTTTTGATTCCTAAGTGATTTTCCAATTCCTAAGTGATATACCTTTTCACTCCTAAGTGACTTCTTTTTAATCTTATGCGATTCTTTTTCATTTCTATATGTGACTTATTCTTATTATTCCTAAGCGAATTTTTTATTCCTATGAGTGACTCCTTTCTATTCCTAAATCCTAAGTGAATCGTTTTTTATTCCTAAGCGACTCTTTTCTATTCCTAAGTGACTCTTTTTTTAATTCCTAAATCACTTTTCATTCCTAAGTCGCTCTTTTTTATGAAAGCGATTTCTAAGTAAATTACTTTTTATTTCTAAGCAAAGCTTTTTCTCATTTCAAAATCCAAAGTGATGTTTTTATTCCTAAGTGAAAGTATATATGATTCTCTCTAATTATAAAGTGATTCCTTTGACTCCTAAGTGATTTCTTGGTTTTCAATGAGACTTTTTGATTATTCTTAAGTGACTTTTTTTATTCCTAACTGATTTTTCTTATTCCTAAGTGACATTGTTTAATCCTAAGTGACTTTTTGATTCTCAACCGATTCTTCTAGATTCCTATAATTGATTCTTTCTCCTCAGTTGACAAAAATCATTTTTAATTTCAGAAAAGTTACTAAAGAATATGTAAATCTTTCCGATTTATATTTTACTTCTTCAATTTATTAGTAATTTTTTTCATTTCCAAGTGGTTTTTTTTATTCCTAAGTAATTTTTTTATTTCTTTAAGGGTCATGTACAAAATACGTTACACTCTAAGGGGGGATGGTAATTAGTAAAAAGAGTAATTTTTACTAATTTAAATTATTGGTGGACAACATTTATTTATTTTGAATTTGGAGAGTTCAAATTATCAGCAGATCATAAATAAAACACAAAAAAGATATAATTTCAATTTAGTATTGAGAGAAGTAAACTATATAATTAAATTAAGAATAATTTTCTTTAATTAAAAAAAAATTCGTTAACGTCCAGTATACATTAAAAAAAATGTTTTTAATTTGTGGTTAAATTGACATAGTATAATTATTTTTCTATAATGAAACATCCGATTTCTGCTTTTCATTATTGCCGATGATGTTTTTCAGTCGTTCTCGGTATAAGAATATAAAGTCTATGCGGTTTTGTGGTTTCATGTCCTGGAGAGTATTAATGAGAGAATATAAGGCTATATTGATAGCAAGTACGCGCATACATATATACATTATGATGCTGGTACGCTGCATATATATGCATCATGAGAAAGCATTTCATTTCAATATTTAAAATTGTTTTTCATTTTTTTCTCACGGAAACGTATATTTAATATATTTAATGCAACTCTAATTTAATAATTAATAGTAATTACACAACCAATAATGTAATAATCATATAATGTAATAAATAATTATAGCTTGTAATTTGTATAGATTATAATAATTATGGATTGGGAAATATAAACATTCATCGTTATACATAAAAAATACTCGCGTGCGTAATTTGTAAGTCAAATGTATGACTGATCAAAAATGTATAACGAATATGAATAATAACTTTCAATACATATATTGAATTTCTTTAAATCAAAAAAAAAAAAAAATCTATATACTCAAAGGGATTCTTTCCCCTTGGTATATAATATTGAATTAAATTTTAAAGAGAAAAGAAAATTTAATTTTGGACTAAGAAAGCTATTATTAATTTAAATATACAATAAGGGAGTAAATAATCATATTTCTTTCTATTTTTCTATTGAACTTTAAAAATGAAAGAAGAAGAGAAAACTGACGATTGTTCCTTGAGGTACATTTCTATTCATTACCCCATTTTTTTATTGTTTTCTGTGTCTTATAATCCAATAGTTTAAGAACTAAACTATCTTTCATCCAGTATTAAAAATTCAAATTCAAATTACAGACTTGAATAATCCAGATGTTATATAAACTTGGCTCGAAGTTTGACCAAAGGGTTAGAAATATAATAATGAAGAAAAACCATATGAAAAAGTTTTGAAAATAATCATGAAAGAACCTGAAAATAGTAATTTTTATTTAAAAAAAAATTTTTTTTTAATATACTCTCAAAAGAATAGAGTATATTTCCTTTAATTTATTTTTATTCTTTAATAGTTTAATAATTGTATAATAATACAAGACAACTTTTTTGAGGTTTGGATATCAAAAAGATTGAATTCAAGTAAAATAAATAAATCTATTAATTAATGTAAGTAATTAATTATTAGTTATCAATTATGTTTGTTTATTTAAAGACAATTTAATTATTATTACGTCAAAATAACTTTTCTTTATCAGTTCACAACCTTAATTTTGATACAATACACTGAAAAAAAATGTATTTGATTTAAATAATTATTTGAATCAAATAATTTTTATTCAAATCAATTAAATGGTATTTGCTTCAAATACAGAATTTATTGGTTCAAATAAAGTCTATTTGATTTAAATAAAAATTTATTTGATTTAAGTGAATATTTAATTGATAATAGTGAAATAATCGGCTATTTGAATCAAATAAATTTTTTTTCAGTGCATTAAGAGGAAAATATTTATTAAATTTAGAGAAATCCGTTATTAGATTTTATATACCGAAAAAAAAGTTATTTTAATTTAAAGAAATTATAGTTTCTTAGACTCATTTTATTTTATTTAAAATAAATTTTCCTTTTAATCAAAAAGAGGGTTTTTGATTTAAAGAAAATTTCTTTGATTTAAACAAATTTTCTTCGAATCCAAAAAATTTTTCCTCTAATCCAAAAGAAATTTTATCGTTAAGTTAAAGAAATAATTCTTCATTTATGCAAGAGGGAAAATTTCCTGTAAACAAATTGCGTTTTTGAATCAAATAAATTTGGTTTTGAATCAAAGAAAAATTAATTTCAATCGAAGAAATAAGTCAAAGCAAATGATTTCTTTAATGAAGTTAAAAGTGGCTCCCGCAGTTACAAACACCCAGTACTTAATTGTGGAAATTAAATTCTAAAGTTTTGTTTTTTGTTTAACAAAATTTTAAAAAATCAAGTTTCAGCTTAATTTTTGTTTCGGTACCAACTTGAATTTTTAAAAATTAAATGGGTGTCAGCTTCAGCTTAAAGCAACAGAAACTTTTTTCTGTGTGTACTTATTTTTTAGGGAGTAATTTAGATTAAAACTATAATAAATAAAATAAATAGAAAAAATAAAACTTCAAATTAAATATGAAAAAGAAAAATTGAAATAAAGAATAAAAATTGAGACTAAATTGAAAAAGCAAATGAAGAAAGCCTAATTGAATAATATTATGATATAAATAAAAGAAGCGAACAATATAACTGAAAAAAATAAGAAACTGACGCATCGATGGTATGGGTATTTATAGCTATATATATAAAAATGATTCAACGTGATTACTGTCGCGGTATTCCCAAATCAGTAAAAGCTTTTTAGAACCCTTTCAGCTTCAATTTAGCACCGTCGGCCGACCCTTTTTCTCAAGAGATGGTCGGCTTTTCTATCCTAATACAAAGAGGCGCGAGCGAACCAAATTATTATGATAGGTCGCCACTGAATTTGTCGGTTCCTTTCATCTCCCGTCGTTTAGCATGATCCCTCGACATTTAGGTGCGGGTTTCTCGAGGAGAGAATAAGGACCACTGGCCTAGGAAGAATAAAACGCAAGGATATAAGACCCCAATAAACCAGCATCAACTGGCTACTCCTTTTCTATTCTCTTCATATCTCTTTTCTACAACCAAATAACATCTTCAACCGAATAACCTCTGTATATGTGTGATGCCTCCACAACCGAATAACCTCCATACTTCTACAACCAAATACCTCTACATGTATATTGTATATATATACTCCCACAACCATATTCCTCTATATGTACAAAAAGATGAAATAGTATATATATAGTACATAGTATCCTCTATGTATTTATTAGTGTATGGTTGTATGTATAGTATCCTCTCTACAACCATATAGTCAACCATATATATAACCATTTACATATACATATTATATACACAACTATTCGGCTATACAATATACTTCTTATTATCACGTCGTACATTGACCCGCTAATGATTCCTCCATTTATATTTCGGACATTCCGATTCTTCAGTTCTTCACCAATGGAGCCTTTAAATCATGTT